AACAGCCAATTCACATTGCTTCCTCTAACATCCTATCTGCCTTGTGGACATAGTAAACTTCATTCCTGCAAAAGTGAAGAGACCTCACAACAAATGAGTCATGATGAGTGCCTCTGCTCCAGTTTTTGGTCTGTATTTTTTCGTATGAGCACTCAAGCAGGACTAACTGAAGAGGCTCATTCCTAGTAGACGCGGAGGGCATATTTTGTGTTTTCTAGTGCCAAACACACACCAAAGGATTAGGTGCTAGAATGAAAAATGAGTTTTCTCCATTTTCTGATTATTTTCACAGGCATTTCTATTATCTTTAACTTTCTTCTTCTAAAACACACACACACATACACACACACACAAACACCGCCTAAAGAAAATTACTAAAGAAATTACTGGGTTCTTTATTTACATTTTATTACAACCTTTACTTCTTGGTTTTCATAGGAAGAAGTGACAAGGACAACGTTAAGAAGTTGGCCCTCACTGCTGCAGGATATAGGAAAGAACTGGAAATTGAGGGCAGGCTAAGCTGGATAAGGATAAAATTAGCCTTCAAGCATATGACTACCAGGAAATAATAAACTACCAGAATCAAGATACCCTGAGTTGTCATCGGGGAGTAAATCAAGTCATAACTCTTTTCTAAAGGACACAAGATAGCAGGGAGGGCAATCCAGCAGGTTTTATAGCCCTGTGTTCACCAACCCCCCACTTGCCAATTCAAACATTTGAGTAATTACAAAAGGCTGGGGTGTAGTCTACCCTTCCGATGGCTTTGTAAGACACAAATGCCAGATTCATAAGAAAGATTTGAGAAAACAGGGCATCGGTATAATTAATCACAGATAAAACTCTGTCTCCAGTTAGTAGCATTGATGACCCTCATGTTTAAAGGGCCATTGTGACTTTAGGCTTGATCTTTTCCCATTTCTACATAAATGAAAACAACCCCTGGAGATGGCCAACCTCAGCCGACCTTTCCAAAGTGGCATCAAAGCCTGAGATGGAACAAAAAGGGTGGTGCCAACATTTGTCTTCTGCCTCCCAGCTCTCCCTCAACCTCAGAGCTTTGAAAATTATGGATGTCTCTAAAAGAGCAACGGGAAGATAGAGGTGACTTGTGCTAATGAGAGGGTCCAGTGCTATCAGGGGGGTTGGGAGCTTATAGAAAAAAGCCATGTGAACCCTGTTCTCAGTCACCACTCAAAAGCCATCTTCCACACATATAAAGTTTCAGATGGGCTGCTGATTGAAATACTTTTTTTTTTTTTACTGTTCTCTACCTATCAATGTCATCAAAAGCAGCTATCCTCAAACACTAAGAAGTTAATTTACATTATACTAAAATTTAATAATATTTATGTGCATGTTAATGATTAGAAGACTACAGAATTTTTTTATATTCTTGATCATATCTTACTGTTTATATTTTACATGATTTTCTATATACCTTTTATATTTATTTGTACATTTTAATCATCATTAACATGTACCTAAATATTCTTTTTCTTTCCTTCTTTCTTTTATTTTTTGCACTTTACCACTGAGCTACATCCTCATCTCCTTTTATTTTTTTTTATTTTGAGACGGGGTCTAGCTAAGTTTCACAGACTGTCCTTGAACTTGTGATCCTCCTGTCTCAGGTAACCTAATCACTGGGCTTATAGGCATGCACCACCATCCCTGGTCCTAATTATTCTTACATTTAGTAATACTAAGAATTATACTCCATAGTGAGGCCAGTTATGGGGGAAAATATTTTGCTCGTCCGCATTTAGAATTTAAAAGTTGTACAAGAGGGTTATGGAGTATAAGCAGAAGTATAGTTACAAGTCAAATACATTAATACATTTGGAAAGTCCTTCCATAACAGACGGATACTTATTCTGCAAAATTTATAAAGGAATAAGCCAGGAATTGATGAGTAACAATGAACAACAAGAAAATAAACTTGATGACAATAACAGACGACATGTTTATCAGAAGATGTGGATCCTCCTTCTGATTCTGCTATGAGCTACATGGTTGACTTGGCCTGTGCCGTTAGCAAACATTTATTGGGGATCATGGAATACTTTGTATGTTGGGGGTGACACAAAGATAAATAACATTTGGTTCTGGACCTTGAAAAGTTTATGAGCTGGTATGGAAGATAAGAAATACAACCATAGCTAACATCTGGCAGGATGAGAGAAGTCCAATTCAAACACATGAGATTGTAGACAGAGGAAAGGATAATTTCTGTCTGAAGAGAAAAGTTTGAAGGAAGGTTTTATGGAAAAGTAGTTTCTGATTGAGCCTCATGGAATGCATAAGTGTCTGACATGAAACTCAAGGAGGAAGGTCTCTCAGAAGCAGTGTGTGAAGTTGTGTTCACAGTTCTCACGCCAAGTTCAGCCACCAGATGTCTTTAGCCTGGGCAAGGTCACCTAATCCTCAGCACTCCTCTTTGGACTCTCACCTCCTCGCCTTCGTCATTTACATCATTTGACTGGCTCTGCAGACATTTGGGATTGTGACACTTGTAACAGAGATGTGGAATTTTTGAGATAAGGAGCCTACATAGTACTTCCAAAAGAATGGACAGAGCCAATAGCAGCTGAGTCCAGAAGCTTCATGCTTCTAGCTGTGCCTTGGGAAGTAGTTTCTGGTATCACTGTGGAGGAGAAAAAGAGGGGTGGGGGGCCAATAAAGAGAGACAGTCAGGGAGGTGAATCACCTGAGGACGAGACCACCAGGACCTGAGCTGAGGCAGTAGAATGGAGACCAAGGGAGCTTCGGATTCTGGGTATTCTTGAAGGAGGAAGTGGAATCCATCCTTCGTTTAAACTTTATATCTCCAAGGTCTAGGTAAATATGTCATTAAGAAAGGAAAAAGAAAGGAACAGACTTGACGAGGAAGATCAGTTCTTCATTTTGAGATGTGATGAGTCTGAAGGGCTTATAGGACATTGAAGTAGGAGTGTGTAGCTATGGTTCTCAACCAGGTTCACAATAATTTGGCCTTGGCCACCCACATCGCACACAGTAGAGGTATGGAAATGTGTGGAGATGGTATTGGCTGCCATATCTGGGAGGATGCTACTGGCAATTAGCAGTAGTCCAGGGGTGCTGTAAATTGTCTACAAGGCACAGACAATCCCTTGCCCGCAAGAGAGAATTACCCTGGACATCAACAGGGCAGAGGTGGAGAAATCTTAGTCTAGAGATAATAGAAACTTCTAACCTGGATTTTTTGAGAGTAGACTAGATACAGATGAGAACTTTGAACCCCTCACCCTTCTGTAGGAGATGTGAGAGAAGACCAACCACTTTAGAAGTGTGTACAAAGGAAAGAAAGGCAGGGACTAATCAAATCCTAGGTAACTTCACTTCACCAGCAATATGAGTTCAGTGGGTTGAAGTAATGCCAGAGGCTCTTTCATATTCAAAATACAATGATTTTATGACTGTTCTTAGCAACTGTGAATCTATAAAGATAGACATAAAGGAGGATGGAAATCATGGAGCAGATCAGTTCAGCCATGAATGTGAAGACACATTGTGGTATGTAGGAGGGAAATATTATATATTGTCTAAAATTTTCATCTGCAAATTTGATATAGAACCACACTATTATAGGGCAAGAAATTTAATACAAAAAAGGAGACAGGTGCAAAAGAAAGAAGGAAAGAAGATAGCAAAAAAGTAAAAGAGAAATGAAATAGGGAGGGGAAATGACAAGACCAGGAAAAGAAGGAGAGGAGAGGAGGGGAGAGGAGGGGAGGGGAGGGGAGAGGAGGACATCCTCTAAAGTCTGAGAGAATACAGTATGGAACAGTTATGCATATGGTTCCAAGGAATAAGACTAGCGGCCATTCTTAATAAGTTTTTGAAACTGTGATACTAGAATATGGTCCATGGACAGCAAAATCTGCTTCGTGAGTGGTGTCATCAATGTTTTTCAAAAGCTAGGCTCACACAACATGACAAAACAATGCCTTGCACTATATTCTCACACTTGAATTTTGCTGTAACTCCACTCCAGTGGGCTTGGTGAGTAGAGCGAGCCCAGAGCAGGGTGACCCTGGAGAGGCAGTGCAGCTCTCCAAAGCAAATGGAAAATAAGTTTACAACAAACAAGAAGATGATCCTTTCACACTCAAATCATCCTGTAGCTTTGAAAGACAAGGTGCACATGAAAATAGCAAGCTAAAGTAGCCAACCATAGAGCCAGGAGCCAGAAAGACCTTGAGTTCAAGTGCCAACCCACCATCCATTGACTCCTGCGGACTGCAAGCTGGGGGATGTCTCTGAGCCTGGACTTCCCTTCTCCTAAAACATGGATGATAAGCCCCTGCCTCCTATGAGCTCTGTGACAGTTGGATGAGATAACAAATGTAAAGGGTTCAGGCCAGCAGCTGGTGTGGGGTGGTGACTGTCCCCAGTAGCTGCTGTTAAGTGACATATAAATCCCATTACGCTAATCAATGACCGAAAGAGAAAAACAGTAGGACCCACATTCCAAGGCAACCAAAGTACAATACATTAGAGAAGGTAATGCATTTGAAAACTGAAATGGATTTGTAGAACTGGAAATGGCTTTCAGAGCTCTCTTGTCAAATTTCCTCATTTTATTGATAGGAAAATTGGGGGAGGAAATGAAAAGGCTATTGTGGGTTGGATATACATGCACCAAAAAAGGTCTTAATTAAAGGGAGGTTATTCAAGTTCAGCCAGCAGATGTCTTTAGCCTGGGCAAGGTCACCTAATCTCCAGCACTCCTCTTTGGACTCTCACCCACTAGCCTTCGTCATTTACATCATTTGACTAGCTCTGTAGACATTTGGGATCGTGACACTTGTAATGGAGATGTGGAATTTTTGAGATAAGGAGCCTACATAGTACTTCCAAAAGAATGCATAGAGCCAATAGCAGATATAAATGTATATATAAATATATATCTGAAAGAATAAACCAGGAAAATAAAGGATGTGCTTCTCCTAAGACAGAGCCAAGTCACTCACCTGTCCAGGAGCAAGTTGGGAGCAAAGAGTAGCTTCCCTGGGTGCTCCATGGAGCGCCAGACAAGACCAATCATTAGGATCTCTAGCCAGGCACATTCCAGAAGATGGACCTGATCGTGGAGGTTCAAATCCCCAAAGCCTGAAACATGACAAGAAAAAATAAACTCTGCTGAGTTAAAATGAAAAGCATTCATCACTGGTGGAATCAATGCAACCAGGGATTGCAACCATTTGGCTGTGTTTTCTATTAGATGGAATTAAGTGTAATAGAGGCACACCATATAGGAACGTCAAGGAACTATTATTTAAACCTAGCTCTATGAATAAATTTGTTGTGGTTTTAAGTTTTTTAATGACGTAGTGTCACATCTACAGAAATACATAAACTTATATAACCCACTTAGCTTTCTGTACTTAGTAATGAAGCTTAAATGCTTTCTACTTTATAAATTTTTTATTTGTTTTAATAGTTATACATGACAGTAGAATACATTTATGCATTTTGATACATCATACACAGATAGGATACAATTTCTCATTTTTCTGAGTGTACATGCTATAGAATCATATTGGTCATTAGTCACATATATACATAAAGTAATAATGTCTGTTTCATTTACTGTCTTTCCTATCCTCACATCCCCTCCCCTCCTGTCCCTTCATTTCCCTCTACCTAACCTAAAGTGATGCTATTCTTCTCTAGTGCCGCACCCTCTCTTATTGTGAATTAGCATCTGCATATTAGAGAAAACATTTGGCCCCTGGTCTTCTGGGATTGGCTCATTTCACTTAGCATGATATTCTCCCACTCCATCCAGTTACTGGCAAATCCCATAATTTCACTCTCCTTTAAAGCTGAATAATATTCCACTGAATACGTATACCACATTTTCTTTATCCTTTCATCTACTGAAGGACACCTATGTTGGTTCCATAGTTTAGCTATTGTGAATTGAGCTGCTGTAAACATTGATGTGGATGCATTACTGTAGTATGCTGACTTTAAGTCCTTTGGGTAGAAACTGAGGAGTGGGATAGCTGGGGCAAAATGGTAGTTACATTCCAAGTTTTCTGAAGAATCTCTATCCTACTTTCCATGGTGGTTGCACCAATTTGCAGTCCCACCAGCAATGTATGAGTGTACCTCTTTCCCTACATCCTCGTCAACACTTATTGTCGCCTGTATTCTTGATGATTCTGGCAGGAGTGAGATGAAATATTAGTGTAGTTTTGATTTGCATTTCTCTAATTTCCAGAGATGTTGAACACTTTTTCATATATTTGTTGATCAATTGTATTTCTTCTTCTGTGGAGTGTCTGTTCAGTTCCTTAGCCCATTTATTGATTGGGTTATTTGATTTTTGGTGTTTTTTGAGTTCTTTATATATCCTAGAGATTAATGCTTTATCAGAAGTGCATGTGACAAAGATTTTCTCCCAATCTGTGGGCTCTCTCTTCACGTTAATTGTTTCCTTTGCTGAGAAGAAGCTTTTCAATTGAATCCATCCCATTTATTGATTATTGATTTTTACTTCTTGTGCTTTAGGAGTCTGGTTAAGGAAGTCAGATCCTAGGCCAACATAGTGAAGATTTGGGCCTACTTATTCTTCTATTAGGCACAGAGTTTGTGTTGATTTTAGTGCAGGGTGAGAGATAGAGGTTTAATTTCATTTTGCTACATATGGATTTCCAGTTTTGCCAGAACTATTTGTTGAATAGGCGATCTTTTCTCCAGTGAATGTTTCTGGCACCTTTGTCTAGTATGACGTAACCAAATTTATGTCTAGTATGACATAACCAAAATTCTACTCTGAACCATTGGTCTACAAGTTCTATTTTGGTGGCAATACCATGCTACTTTTATTACTACAGTTTAAGGTCTGGTATTGTGATGCCTCCTGCTTCACTTTTCTTGCTAAGGATTGCTATTCTGAGTCTCTTACTTTTCCAAATAAATTTTATGATTGCTTTTTCTGTTTCTATGAAGAATGTTATTGGGATTTTAATAGGAATTGCACTAAATCTGCATAATGCTTTTGGTAGTATGGCCATTTGGACAATATTAATTCTGCCTGTCCAGGAACATGGGAAATCTTTCCATCTTCTGAGGTTTTCTTCAATTTCTTTCTTTAGTGTTCTGTAGTTTTAATTGTAGAGGTCTTTCACCTCTTTTGTTAGATTGATTCCCAGGGATTTTATTGTACTTATGACACTTTTAATAGCCCTATTTGGCTGCTATTCATTTGTGCTTCGTTGAAAATACAAAGGTGCAAGAAATTTAAATTACTTGTCTTATACCATACAGAAACTGGCACTCAGGTAGGACCAAAGTCATTAAACATCTATTTTTTCTTCATATCTAAAAGATCATATCATATGATCTTCTTTCATAATCTGTCAAAAACTCATGAAATAACATGTAAGTAAGTCACTTGGGAGAATGAAACAGATGATTAAAGGTGACATTATGATTACTTTTGATAAAAAAAAACATTAAAATGTGTCCTTTTTCCACATTGTTGATTAGGATATTAAAGCTTTTTCCAATCATTAATGACAAATGCTGGATGCTCAAAATATAACAACAAGGAAGAGGAGGAAGAACAAAGAGAAGAAGGTGGCAAAGGAGAAGAAAATGGAGGGAAGAAGAAGAGGAAGAAAGAAAGACCAGCTTATGAGTGCCTTACTATAAGTTAGAGGCAGCGCCAAGTGCTTCCTGTACTTGGTCTTTCTCATTTTTATTAATACAATACCCAGAAGAGGTGGGAAGTGACACCTATTTACAGGATAAGAAAACAGATACTCAGAGATGGCAATGTCATCTCCAGTGCTTGTGCCCTTGACCACAATTAGCATGACCTCTTGTGAGCTCTCCTTAATTATAGAATTTGAATTGAATGACCAAGTAAATCTAACCACACACATAAGGATAAATTAGTGACAGGGAAATTAAATGAAGACACGGTCCAAAAAGTTTTTTGTTTCTCAGATCAGCTTCCTGTTCTTTGGCCCAGGGGCGCAGTGTATTTCCTTCTTCTTGCTCCTTACCCTCAGCTCTGTTCCCACTTATCCATGAGAATGGCTATATAAATCTTATTTTCTAATGTCCTCTTCTTTTTTTCTTGCTATTTCTAATTTAATTAGCAATCTAATATTGCATTAATTGAAAAGTCAAAATGTAAGATGATTTCCTTAATTAGTCAAGTATAAATGATCTGCCTAGTGGATATTTCTTCTTGAGGGTCTTGGTGTTATCCACAGCTCAGCCTTAAATAATTAGCTCATATTTGTACATGCCTAGGCATTGTATAGCACTTAATCCTCATCACCAAATAAGTGGGATCCAGATACAGAAATTTAAGCCTGAAACAAACCTCACAGCCTATGTCCCCTTTCTTGCCATCATCTCATCATCAAACCTAATCCATTAGTCTTCCTCTCCTCTCTGTTCCTACAGTTGACAAAGTCAATTCCTAATCACCTCTTACCTTTTTGTATGACTTCCCTATTACTCTAATAATACTTAATCATGATGTTGCTTGTATAGATAGTTGATTCTTTCTCTCGTGGAGTGGATTATTGAATCACTAAGTACACATTTATCCTATCATTGGACATTTCGATTGTTTCCAGATTTTGAGTTATTACAAGTAAAACTGTTATGAGCAATTTATGTATCAGTTTTGGTATGGACATATGCTTCCATTGCTCTTGGTTAGATATTTAAGTGTGCAGTGCTTCTTAAAAACTTCCATACAGTTTTCAAAAGTGGTCGTACCACTTTACATACCCACCAGCAATACATGAGAACAGCAGGTGTTCTGCATCCTTGCCCATATCAGTGTGGTCGGTCTTTTTCATTTTAGACATTCTAATAGATATAAAGGTATAACAATGACATTGTGGTTTGATTTGCATTTTCCTAATCATATTGAGCATCCCATGTTTTCTACCAGATCATTTCGTTACACTGTATTCACGTCAATTATTCATGTATCTGTAGGACCCACTAGACTATGAACCTATTAGAGCCACAAAATGGATGATCTCTCAAAGCCCACTTTTTTTAAAGCTCAAATTTATTGCGACTTCCAGAACATCACACAGCCATTCCAGGCCTCATAATAGCATAGCCTTTGTCAGGGCAGGTATCTTCCAACTGGAAAGAATGGATTCCACTCAGGTGACACAGACTGGTATCTGGAGAAATGAGGAAATGGGTGGCATTGATCATAAGAAAATCTTGAAAACTAAAAAGCTATTTTTTGGTTTCAGACCTGCCTAGGGGGGAAAGGAACATAAATATCTGCAATACGTAGATGTTCACCTAGTGCCCTGGGTCAAAAAGGACCAGGCTTTCTCCAGAGGAGACATCACCTGGCTCAACAATAAATGCTTCTCTTTCTTCTGGTCTAATAGGAAAAACCAAACCCAGGGGAAGAACATAAAATGAAAGCCCTAATATGTCCCTCTGAATAAAGTCTCCTAATAGTGAGATAAACCTACCCTATAAGTTAAACTCACTTTCAGAAATGTTAACATTTTTTTTGTGTGTGTGGTACTAGGAATTGAACCCAGGGCCTTGTGCCTGCAAGGCAAGCACTCTACCAACTGAGCTACATCCTCAGCCTAGAAAGGTTAACATTTAAAAGCAAGTCTTTTTCTGTCTCTCACAACATTCACTATTTTGTGTACACAAAAATGGTATCACGTGATATGTTTACCCATGAAGAATTTACCCTGTAATATTAAATTCCTTACATAAGCCTCAGAAAATTATAAAGGATGGGCTTGGGGACTGACTCCCAAGTTCTCAGAACTGCAGTTGGTCATGTAACCAATCAACTTGGGAAAACCAAAGGCCTGCTTTCTGATGGCAACTTTACATTTAAATGGGAATCACATTTTAATTCTCTCTTTAGAATTCCAGTGTTGTTTAGGTGTGACAGTTTTAGTGGTCTTTTGGGAGCCAAACAAGCTCCCCCTAATCCTTTGTACCATGTAAGTATGGTGATTATGAAATGGGTCTGAGGGATGTCTGTTAGTAATAGTTTTCAATGGAAGGCCAGCAGGATTGCTAGGTATCTCTATTGAAATGTTGTAGATCTCTCAAATGAGTCTATTTAATTATCTTTCCCA